GTCTAAAATTATCACCTCATCCTAGTTGACCAAAATTACAAATTTTCAACTTTTTTATTAAATTTCAGAAATTTCAGACATGAGATCCCTAATTCTAGGCTGTGTATACACAGCTAAAAACACCCAAAAAGTGCTGTTTCCAGCCATCTGGGGGCTTTTAGATTCCAAAAATTTTCTGGTACGCTCCGCGCCAACCGATGGTTGCGCTCCGCTTAGATAGTCCTGCCGGCACTAAAACCATCCTGGGCAGAACCCTGTGGACCCCACAGTTCTGGGGGTATGTTGATGCGTATTGACCTAAATAGCATGACCACACATGGTTGTGGGGGTGCCCATCTCCATAAGTCTCATCACAAATACTGCATGGGTGATTTTGCACAATGGTAGAAAGGCATTGTGGGAAGGCAAAAGGAGCAAACATTGTCCCTTTTTCCTTCCCACGATGCCTTTCTACCATGAATCACCTATGCAGTATTTGTGATAAGGCTTAAAGTCGCAGTAGGCCTACTTTGTTGCAAGAGTTAAGATGGGTTGGGCTACATACCTATAGGACCCTGTTCCTATTAGGCCTATACAAAAAAGGGAACAAATTCTACTTTTTTGAAACAACTTATCTGAACAGGTTTTTAGTGATGTCCTATTTCATATCAGAAAGAAAAGGGAACAGGGCTTTTAGTTTTTGACGGAAATTTTGAGGTAAAACGGCAGCGCACATCACCGCCCCAAAAACAAATTGGCGAATGTAGTCTGGTTCCTCGACCTGGATGGATATTTGTAGTGATGGATCCAAAATTCCTGAGTCAGATAACCAGATAAAAAACAAAATGATGTGATTCAGCTGAGCAGTTGTCTTTTCTAGGCAGGTTCATGAAATTTCAGAATACATTCAATCACTATTATTTCTGTTCAGTTTTATAGAGCTCACTATTTGTATTAAAATGAGCAATTTGTTCAAAAGTTATGGCAAAAGTTTTATGTTACATCTGAAATTTTACTATGGGGCAAGGTCCAAAGTTCTTGTGACAATTATCAGCTGTATGCAGTGCATATACATGTAGCTGACTTGCTAGGCCCGTGCACAGTGATAATAGGCATTCACATTATTGAAAGTGCATGATTGCCATTTTTTTTCAAAATAGTCACCATATTGTTACCAACATGGCTGCCATCTTGCTGTCTTTTTCACAGAAGAAAGAAAGAAAAAATCATTTTAATTTAAGAAACTACTTTATTGACATCAATTATTGACATTTGAGTATTCTAATGGGCCCTATTTCTGCATGTTATGTTCAAAGAAATTAAACCCTTTACAAAAGAACCAAGCAGTTGTTTTTTCATTGCCAAAAAAAATACATATAAAAAATAAAAATAGGCCTAGGCCTACAACACTCAACAATGGCAAACATACCAACAAACAAAAAAAAAGAACCAAAAATCTAAAGCATCAATTCAGAACACAAGAGTATTAAATTTAGGGAAGGTTCAGTTTTCATTAAAATGTGAATTTGGTGAAGAAATATGAAAAGAAGTAAAATAGGCCCACTTAATGAAATATGGGACAACCCCTGCCACTTTTTAATAACTCCACACCTATATTAAGTAATGGAAGAGTCCACTTACAAGACGTTTGTGAAGCAGGCAGACTGTTCCATGTAGTGTTCGGGTACATGTAATTGTAATTCTTTCAAAATCCAGATTTGATGGGCTAAAAATGTTTTCAACCACAAACGTGCCAGTGTTGGAGGTCTGGTCTCGAGACGTTTTTTTGAGGTCTCGGTCTCGGTCTCGGCCTACAAGAGTCTCGGTCTCGGGAGGGTTGGTCTCGGTTTCGGGAGGGCTGGTCTCGGTCTTGGTCTCGGTCTCGGATGCCGAGGTCTCGGGTCTCCTACCCGAGACCTGCCGAGACCATGACAGAAATGCAGAAAATGTGCGACAACAATTCATGCTCAGCTGCGGCAAAATCACGTACGCGGATCGTACGGTAAATAC